CCGAGTCTTCATTTCGCGTTATCGGACTATTGCTCATTTTATAACAACTTTATGTATATAATTTTATTCACAATGAATATCACTTGAATACATTAGCTGAACCTTTTCTAATGTATTTTATTTGAAAAAAAAGAAACGGAAAGTCACGGTCTTACCTGTATTTGGTCAGAATACCAAAACCGTTATTCGAAGTTTGAAATTAACGTATGGTATGATTGTTGCTACTATAAATACGTAAAGGTTAATCAGTAATATGGTAATCGTCATCATGTTTTATTCATCAGGTCGATATCTCAATGGCAGAGCGATGTGAAAATAACACATTATATTGTAAATCTTTAGACAAAAGTCGTATAGGGAAATCTACAATTTCATGAAATATTAAATTACCCGGAGTATGTCATTGCGTCAATATGGTACATAAATAAGTGACATATGTGCTTGGTTGAAAAAATAAATGAACTCCAATTTTTCCCATTTGTTTATCCCCGCAATAATGCATACAATCAAATACGTGACAGGTTGAAATATCCATTAATTTGAGAGTTACGGCTTAGCAAACGTCGTTAAATGACTTCCTGTGTTCGTGAAATACGGTTAAACGCATCTGTTTTTATCTTCCTTTCTTTGAAATTGTCATATTTTGATAACCAAAGATACTGCTCAATGGATGTAACGGCTTAATTTGTAAGTAAAGGGCTTAGGTGTTTGTACACGCATGTTCCATATTTAACCATAATAACAGTTTAATTGGCAGTTGAAGGACAGCTACGAGGATACTAAAAAAAATAAGGGTACTGGAAACTCGACCTCAACCAGGCCTGTTAACTACCGTTAGTGTCCAAGATGCCGTAATTTAATAAAGTGATACAGCATATTTTGCGAGATGTAGGCGGTGTGTGTTGGACAATATACCATTGACATATCATACGAAACAACATGATGTATCCATGAAACAATTTACCAGCTTAGTTCACTCCGTAAAATGTTGGTCGAATCTATGATTTTGCTGCCCAAAACAGTGGCTTATATATAAATAGTTTATTGCTCTTATGAACTACTACTATATAAATGCACAGATTACAAACACACAGAAACTAGCTTTTGTAGTATATAGTTCATTCGCGGGAACTTTATTTCAAATATGGTGAGTGTAAATCTATATACATTGTTGAGTCATTTGTGTAAATAGTGTACTATGTTCACCAAGGTGTCAGCCACTGTATACGACCTGCACGTGCTTTCGACGGTTTTAAACACAAATCTTTCTCGTGACAACAAATATTATACGGAAAAGGTACATCCCTTTTTGGCAGCAGAATTATACAGCATATTGTGAAATCCATAGTTGATATTAGCTGATAATAGTCTAGTAAATGGGAATGGTAAATGGTAAAAGGCGATACTTTGAAAAAGCTACCATTATAACCAAAACTTGTCACGGATATCATCGCATCCAAGCAATGCAAATGTAAATTCAGTGATGAAAATGTCTAAACCAATAGTTGTAAATGAAATGCAGAAATTCGTTGACTGATTGGTGGAAGTGTGAACCAATAAGAAACAAATAATCCCATGAGACAGCGAGTGATGTTCATCTCAAAACGCAAGTGGCGTATCTGCATGTACGTGAGTGTCTAGGATACTACTCATTTTAGCTTATCTTCATGCTGCTACAAGCTTAGGCTATTCACAGCCCAATTTACTTGCGTCGTAGCTAACATTTCTCAGCGCAGTAAAGGTATGCAAGCACAAGATGAATAAATTTGAAAGCAAAAAATGCAAACCTATTCGAAAAATATGTTGAAAAAATAGTGAAAATAAATTTATATCATAGAAAATATATTATCTATTTTGATCAACTTCATGTTTATGCATTTACAATCCAGAGAAAATTAACTGGACTCAAGAAAATGATAAGTAATCTGTTTATCTACAAGGCATAAACGTAGAAACCCCATTACAGTTGAACTGTCGAGTCTACATTTGACCTATGACTCTATGTAAATGAGTAAGCATCACGTGACGGGCCGTCAGTTCATGTTACAGACAACTAGTCCAGCACTGGAATAATGTCGCCTGCGTGTTACTACCAATAACTTGAGTGGAAATCAATTGATTATCTTGAGTGGTTCAGGAGAATTATGAACACTTTTCGACAAATAAGGGAATGTATAACATTGATACAATAACTTGGAATCATCAACTGTTATTTCCTTCCGAAATTGGAGTGCTACGTTAAGTGAAATTCAGTACGTTATAACTGCAACATTGTATCTGACGATGTTGTACTCTTGAATATTTTGAATACTTGTACAGCTCTGTAGTGACTTTTGTATGGTACAAATTTGTATTTGACTTCAGGGTTCAGCTGCTGTATGTCGAGCCATATTTGTTATGACCGAAATTTAGATTTATTTATTTATTTTTATTTATGTTAGTTATTGAGACTATGTTTAATCGTCACAAAAAAAGTTTGTGTTTTTTATTATACAGCATGCACATGTACGTAATTATTAGTTTAACCTGATAGACAAACAGCGCCTCTAGTGGCAGATT